ATCAGTGCGAGCCATGAAACGCCAACTTTCCTCGTCCAGCCTGGGATAACAATTGACAAGTCAATACATTGAATACAGGTATAATTATAAAGAAATGTAATTAGTATCCAGATACATGATCTCATAACTCTTCATTCAATAATGGAAACCGCCAAGAAGAACAAAGCCTTTTGACAAAGTGGATTATCTAAATGCTAACTCTCACCCTCAGTCTTGGTTTGCGGCTAACAGAACCGAAAGAAGCTGGCTTCATCACACGGTACAAAATAAAGCGGTGAAATAATTTGCGTCCATCATCGCATAATTGCTAACAAATTGTATAAAAGAATTAATATAAACATATGTTTCAGTCCGCGTATGGCCTATAATTAAACCCATTGCACCCAGCGCACAAGCAATGATATCTGTTCCTTTATACAAACAGGAGGATCAGAGATTCACTGTTCATACTACAGTAACATTTACTGTAGCATGGTTACTGTACCTAATAATTAATTTAAAAATACAACTGTAGCACACGGGTATACTATAACATTTAAAAGGTACTGTAGCAGAGCGGGATACTGTAGCAATTCCAAAAATTCAAACCATGAATATTAAAAAAACGTGATTACTGTAGCAAAAAAAAAAATACACGGACCGCAAACTAGTAACTATTATATACACACATCATCAACAGTGGGTCAAAGAGCAAAATTTTATAAAATAGAACATGAGAGAAAGTAGCATCTTAGGTACTGATGCAGTCCTAACTACTCTAGTAGCTATGAAATTTTAACAAGAGGGGCGTCAGATTATTATTTGCTTTAAAAAAAAAGAAATTGGCTTCCGTTCAGAAAGCTGGCCTCATCAAGAGGATTTCCAGGAGTGATGCATGAGATTCCAAGGGCAGTTGCCCAACTTTCCTCCCGTTGCAATTCGTGGGGTGGGTGGGGGTCATCAACAAACAAACAAACAAAATATACTTGTTTAGGTCTAATCAAAATCGAATACGGATACAAGCTGGATATTTTGATGACAGAAGCCTAAGGGCATGTTTGGATTTGTAGGGGGTGAAGGGAAGTTAAGGGAAACTAAGTGAAGTGAAGGGAAGGGAAGGGAATTCCCTTCCCCTTAGTTACACCCCAATTTGGGGGGTAACAATTTTTATACTATTAGGGGGTGAACCAAGGGGAACTAGGGTGAATTAACATCACCTCCTAAGTGTTCCCAAACAAGATGAATGGAGGTGAATGGTTCCCCTAACTTCCCTTCACCCTCATTCCCCTCAATCCAAACAAGCCCTAAGGGGAGTGATGGATACAAGTTTGGAGTATTGGCAAGTTGATGATTTGCTTTACCATTCTTTTGCTAAAAGAAACGGGCGGAAAAAAAATAATAATGACATGTAGCTTTTCTTGGTTTACAAGGAGAGAGATACTAAGATTTTGTCATTAAGGAGAAAGACGGGCAATCGGAGTCCATTAGATTATGCGTACCGTCTACTTAAGAATCTCTAACGAAATGATTAAAAGTTCTAACAATCTAATAGTGACTTGGGTGCAAGACGTCACCCTCAAATCTTGTTTTATGGTGCTTTTTTATTTAAAGAACAGAATGCAGTAGTTAGATTCCATCATCTATCGTAAGGTCTCAACAGCTTAGTTCCTATTCTTCTAATCAGTAGACTCACCAACTTATTTGAAGTAGCAAGCCCACTCAATAATAGAGGGCATATGACTTCTAAGATACACTCCATCACGGAATAAATGCTAAGTGTACTACTCTCCTATACTACTTCGGCACTACTACGCACAGAGAGTGAGGTCATGATGACTCACCACTTGAAAAATTGTAGTGTTGGGTCACCATGACCCCTCTTCTGCGAGTGGCAATGCCAAAGGAGTATAGCGGGAGTAGTACACTTATCACTACCCATAAACATATTTCCTAGTGAAGAAAATTAGACCTATGACCCTAGACTTGCTTAACAAATGCCCGAAAGGAGACTTGACAATTGTGTCCCCCCGCCAGCTAAAATGACCCTCATGTAAAAATTGCTTAATCCCTGGTACTTCTTATAAAACATAAGGCAAAAAATATGTTTCACATCTATTTCAAACTCTTTGATAAGAAAATACGAGAAATTTAAGTCAAAACAGACAAAATTCATCAAGTGTAAATCTAAATTTAATTATTAAAGCTTGAAATTCATGAGCTGCTGGAGTCATAATTCATTGTAACAGAAATAAACAGGAGATGGCAAATTAAAAAAAATGAGTATTTACACAAAATAATGAAATAGCCAAACAACACCTACTGCAATATGCAAAGCAGTGCAGTTATAAAAGTTCAAGCTGTTACTGACATGTATACTGTTTCATATGACATGCAGATGTTTTGGAAAAAACCAATAGCAGTTTACAGAGTAACTTCGAATTTCGAAACGCAATCCAAGCAATAAGTTTCAACACATTTCGGTTAATCAAGGTCTGAATACAAAGATGCGCAAGCGATACCAGATATTGCAGTCAGTCGATTTTGAGCTATTTAAAAAGAGACGTGCAAAGACTCCAGTTAGCTTAATGCATAGGAAAGGGAATGAATATGTAAAACTTGCCTACGGAATTACTCCTTTGTTTTGTTCAAGCTTCTTGGAGCTTCTCTTTTTGCTCTGCCGCTGTCTTCTTTCTCCCCCCCTCCTTACTGAAAGTCTAGTAGTAAGTGATGTGATATAATAAACAGTCTTTCGTCACTGTTTAGAACAAAAGCTGTAGGTTAGGACATTTGTGATTAAATTGAGACATGCTTCTTGATATCCCTTTTAGCCGCTAAAGAATCAAGTTACTAAACATACAGCATGAAAGATGGACTAGGAAAATGGCAAGAACTACATGTTCACATGACAACTTCATATGGTGACAGTCATATGGTTCAAGAATTTGACAGTCTCTGCGTATAGGTAACCCTGGAGTGAAGATTCGTGGTTCATGGTACCCCAGTAAATCTTAAATGAAGAGAGGGAACAAACGTTAGATGTATGTATGTGTAGAGATTGAGATTATCAGGTCCTAATGTTTCACACTTCAGATCAAAATGATCCTGCATGAGTGATGGAATCAAAGCAACATTATAATGGAAACCTGTGAGAAATCGCCATCATTGACCTATCATTTGTTCAGCTTTCATCACCTTGTAAGCCAAGATACTTAAACAAATATTGTCCTTTAAAACATTTAATCTTTGAAAACAACATCTGCTGCAGCATGAAAGGAAAAGTCGGGCTTATACTATTGATGTCACCAGTTGTATACCCTTTTCTGTCTCGTAAGTCTGTCACTATTTCTACTTAATCTGAGTCCATGGACATACAAAGTTTAGTGCCAGGGAGAAACCAAGACCAAATGGAGTTAATGGACCTCAAATAAAGAATAGGATCAAATTAACCAAAAAAATTATGTTACTAGGTATTAATCCCAACCCACATTTAAGTCCACTACTCTTTCTTCACCTCTCAACATTGGGACTATACTCACCCACATGAAATCCTAACAACTTCCCTTTATTTGTGATACAGCTCACAGCTCAATCATGCACGGGACCTATGAGCCCTTCACTGACTTTGTTTGAACCAGCAACCATGGGTTAATTGAGAGACGACATGACTACACAACATCCGTAGGATCTGCCACCACAAATGGGCTAACCAAATCATTATCACCCCTACAAACAATCTTCATCATCATTCATTTCTTAAATTAACCTGGCCTTTTGCTTTTCATTGTTACACTTTCTAATACAATCCAAACCATTTTTATTTATACTGTGAATTATAATTTCTGATTCAGATCACTAAATGCATACATTACAAAATTAAAACTTCTTAAAATCATAAGTTACAATACAAATATACAATTGTCCATAGATTTGTTGCTATGAAGTTTACAATTCACATAGGATTCTGCATTAAATATTTTCAAATATCCAACACACCCCATCATACTTGAAGTGCAGTCAACGAAGCGTGCCTCTGAGTCAATGTAACGCATTAGCAGTAAGAGACTTGATGAAAATATCTGCAACTTGCTTTGTTGTCCTACAAAATAGTACAAATGTCTTCTTGACTTGATATCTAAGAAAATGAAATATGGCAACTATGTATTTGCTTCTTCCATATATAGCATCAGATTCTTAAATGGTTGAATAGCCGATTTAATATTTATAACCATTGATGATGATCCAATTCTCCAGGAAATTCCTCAACCATATTGTTGTAATGTGCTCAGCCACGCATATGGACAGTGTCACAACTTCTTTCTTCAAGCTCCAATAAAATATCTTTGAACAAATATAATGGCTCACATAGTGCTCTTTTCTCAACTTGATTGCCTCGACAAGAGCATACAAATAGCTTAACATTATTACCATAAGCACATGAAAGACCAAGATATATGGTACCCTTTCATATATTTGAGAATTCTCTTAGTCACGAGCCAATGTGACTCATTTGGCATCTTTATGTACCTACTCACAAGTCCAACAACGCAGTCATTGTTGGGCTTCGTTATGTTTAGGTACCTCATGCTTCTCACTCTTGTATAGAGTTCGACTCCTTCTAGATATTGCCCCAATCCCATCGCAACAGCATTGACAAAATTGCAACTCTTTAGCTGTATTCCTTGAAATCACTTTTGCATACTTCTTTTGTAAAATTGAAATCCTACCAAGCTATTGGTGCACTTCCATGCCAAGAAAATAGGACAAGTTTTCAGCATCAAACTGATTATATAGCAACATCTACTGTGTGTGAAGCAATATGGCTAAAAAATGTATCGGGAACATTGGGCCGTCAACAAGAACTTACGATTATTACACGTGGATAACAAATTGGTCAAAAATCTCTTCAAGAATCCGATGCAACATGAAAGAAGCAAACAAATAGATACTAGATTACGGTCTTACGGATATTTAGGACAGTAGAGAAAATTACGGATATTTTCACCTCTTCCTGCATTTCACCGACTTAGGGCAGGGACATGCTTGAAATGACCTCCCTTCAAGCCCGCAGACGCATGTTGAATATTTATAAATGTTCAAATAGAAACTTAAATGTTAGAATTGTGATCTCCTTAGCAATAAGCCTGTGAAATAATTGTATCGTAACATGTGACTTGTATGGGGTTTTAATTTAATAACCTATACTTTAAACGACATAAATGAGAAGTTGCAACTCCTGGTACAAAAGAGACTATATAAGGGGCTTGGATTGCAGAAAAAATATAGCAACAAAAGCAAAGATCTCCTCTAGAAAAGTTGTAAGTTTGTATTGCTTTTGAGTTAGAGAACTCTTAGCATATAGTTTTTGTTGGATAGAAACTAGGCATGACAGAGAGATAATGGACATTAAATAGATGGTAGGAACCAAATCAACGTAATATCTTTAGTTATTAGGTGTTGCCGTCACTCCTATTTAAGTACACATTCTTTCTTAACCTTTCCAACGTAAGATTATACTCTACACATGAAACCCCAACAATCTCCTCCTTCATTTGCGATATATCTCAATCATTCACAAGAATCATGGGCACTTCCCTGATTTTGTCTGAACCGGCAATTGTGGGCTAACAAAACCATTATACTCCCTAAGGCAATTTTTGACACCATCCATCCAGTAGTTAACATGACTTTGGGGCTAAACCAGCAATCATGTGACAACGACATGACTACTAACATCCATAGGTTTTTTCACCATTTATGGGCTAACCAAACCTTAGTCTAAACTCTACACTAGCAATAATGTGTGCATCATGGCATGCCGACTATCCTAGAATCTAAAACCACCTAGGATTGATGGACTAATCTGACCTTGGTCATTCTCCTGACACCTTCGAGATTCACATTGGATTTCACTTGCCCTTGGGCCAGAATCTTGGCTATAACACCGCTTATTGGGTAGAAATCTGGCATGAAAGGGAGCTAAATAGACCTTAAATAGAGCTAGGAACCAAATTAACCTAAAAAAGTATTGATCCAAACTCCTATACCACTCTTTTCAAACTCACATACCACTCTTTCTTACTTTTCCAATGTACGAGTATACTCGCACATGAAATGCCAACAAATATACATGGATTTTTTTTCTGGTTCTTATGTGCTGTTGAACGACTTGTACCACACTAACTTCCTCAAATTTCTCTGGGATAAACTCAAACCGATGTTCATTTCGAGTTTCGTCGTCTTGCTTACTAGCTAGTAGATATTACAAGTCAACAATATAGTTCCATAAGTTGATCTCCTTCTCCGTCTTCTTGTTATGGATCCCATAAGGAATGGTTTGGGTGGAATTACTGGATAACAATACATATACTTGAGGATATCGTATGGACGATGTGCAGGATCAAACATGGGCATCCTTGTGACTTTGTTGTTTGTGTGTCTATAAAGTGAAGCTAAGCTATAATTGATAATAGCAAAATGTTTCTAATATCAGTTTTTTTAAACCACTGGATCGCTTGCCGATTCATGCTATAGAAACTAGTTATGGTTTACTCCCTAATTTTAGAGGACTGCTTAATTTTAAGAGTTTCTTTAACATGAATCTCCAAGCTATACAGTGCTTAAATATTTAAACATCTCCAAATGTTTAGCCATGTCCAAATTGTAGTTTCTTTTACATAAGGCATGTGATCAGATATATCATGTTCGAGATAGTTTATTGCTTGAGGTACAGTTTCTTCAAGAAGGCACACAAGGGAAATACATAAGAATAATACAACCATTGATAAAGAATTTGCATTGTGTCAAACCTTTTGGTCAAGCACATGAAGTCCAAATAAATCCCAATGACAATAGAAGGTAGAATCTGCAGAACCGCAAGGTATACCTGATAATCATTTCTATATCAAATTCAACCTAATCTTATTCCTATTATTTGACTTGTACCAATGGAATATATGGACATTGCATTGAGAAATTTGATGTCGCAATGAAGAAAATACTGGAAAATTATAGTTGAGTAACGCGCACCTCTAGGATCTGCATCTCAAAGCATCCAACGATGTCTTCGCAAACTTTTGAAGCTTAAAATGTAAGTGAAGGCTAAATCTTTTATACAAAAAGCTTTCATGTGGAATATATTGCACAAACATGTAAATGTGATTCGGATAAGGCAAGGCATGGATGTATGACTATGGAGATACGTGAAATCTTAAAACCTAGGGTATGAATACAGTATACACTTACTATTTGTAAATATCAATGTTAAAAAGAAAGACCTAGGCGGACTAGGCGTTTGAGCCAGGGCCTAGCGCATAGGCGGTGGCGCTAGGCATTTATGTAATTTTTAAATTAAATAATTATGAAAATTAAAAAATTTAACTAATTATACTAAGAAATAACAAAAAATAAATAAAATTACAAAAAAGTGAATAAAATAAAAAACAGTGGAAAATTAACAAAGAATGAGAAAAAACCTTCAATAGATGGAGGGCTTGGACTCTAGAGGAAGAGAGGTGAGGGACTTGCCGGAGGTGGCGGCGAGGGAGAGGAGAGAGGAGGTGATTGTTAGGGCTTTGAGGATCTCGGGGAGGGATAGGAGAACCGGTGGAGGATAGGAGCTTTAATGGAGGTGAGGAGCGCTGGAGAAGAGGGAGAGGAGAACCGTGCAATAGAGTATAAAAGAATGGTGAGACCAGAGAGAGAGAGAGAGAGATCGACGGAGAGAGAAAGGAGGAGTGGTTTGGGTAAAGTATGCGGCTCAGGTTAAGGTTTTAAGTATTATTTTGGTTTTTTTTTTTTTTTGAGCTACTGTCCTATTTGGGCCAGATTGGGCCCAAAACAGTTTTTCTCCCAAATAGCTAGGCGGAGCGAATGCCTAGCCCTAGGCGGCGCGTAGGCGGTTCCACAGCCTAGATTGGCCGCTCCGGCCAATTCTAAGCGGCTGGAGGGCCACCAAGGAGCTTTTTAGAACACTGGTAAAAATACTTATAAGTAAATATTTGGACAAGACATAACCTGATCTCAGGTCTCTTGAAGCAAATATGCAGTTTCAGTTGATGTCGAAATCTCCACTACTATAAACATGAAAATTAAATATCCCTTGCCCCCAATCCACCCTTGTCCAAGTTGGCTGAAGGGCGATACTTTTTACGTGTGTCAAACACGTAAGCATCAAGTACGCATTGTTCTCTATCAAAAACAAAAAAAAGTACACATTGTTCAGCGAACCAATTCAGGACATCAAAATAGTATCAGTGTTTCTTTTAGAACACGGTTACCTGAGTACTACTGGAAAAATAAAAGTATGAAAAGCTTCAAATAACTAACAATATACTTACTGAATAGGCATAAAGTTTGTTCCAATTATTCACAATGTTTTACTAAGGGTTAATAGATATTAGTCCCTTTAATCATTCATATTTTGAATTAGTCCCTCAAATCATTGACATGGTATTAGGTCCCTCAATTCTTAGTTTATTTTGAAATTAGTCCCTCAAATAAGTGAAACTGCTATTGGGTCCCCCAATTCATAAGTTTTTAATAATAGCAATTGGAGAGATTAATTTCAAAATACAAAAGATTTGAGGGATTAATATCGGAAAAACCCTCTATTAAAAAACTAAAAGAAGACTAATTTCAATATGAAAGATTTACGGGACTAATAGTTTGAGAGACTAATTTTAAAAAACTTAAAAGATTTTAAGGGACTAAAAGTTTGAGAGGCTAATTTTAAAAAACTGAAAAGAGACTACTTCTAAAAAGAGACTAATGTCAATGGTTTGAGAGACTAATTTCAAAATTACTAAAGAATTGAGGGACCTAATAGCAATTTCTATGATTTGAGGGATTAATTCAAAATATGAAAGATGTAAGGGATTAATATAAAAAACCATTTATTAAAATGCGACTAACTAAAAAGAGAATAACACTACCACTATTACTTAGTATTTCCTAAAATAATGTCTATCTCAAAATATCAATACATAATCACAGACAGAACTCAAAATGATAAGAAAATGGAATGAAAAATTGTGCTCAATCCCTGACAATGATAAAAATTTGCAGACAACTTAACATGAATGCCAAAGAAAATTACTTGTACGACATTGAGAAAAATAAATAAGGCAGATGTATGCATATGCATTCTGAAGGTGATTTAGAACCTAATGAGTAATAGAAAATGGTTGTTCACCTGGTATTTTGACCTAAGATTTAACTTTACCTTCTACGTTCTTTAGCATATATCTTTTATTTGAGAACCATTATTTGTTTCCACGCTGATGCTGAAAGCCATAATCGCCTCTTTTGTCCTGGAAAGATTATCTGCTAAAAAAAGTCCCTATACAACTTGCACAGAATGACGTGAGGCAAACCTAGCTAGAGATGAAATTGCATGCCCTAGTTTCTAATAACTACAGGCCCTAATTTCTGATAAGAACAAAACTGCAAAACCCTAATTGCTTGTTCTCTAGCATCCTGGTCTTGGAAAGATTTTCTGCTGAAAATCTTTGTGTGTATAGGGAACACTGCAATTCGGACAGAATGAAGTGAAACGACAATTCATAAGAGCAATTGAAGGCTCACTATAAGTTGGTCAAAAGAACGATACCTGAAGATGGAGAGAAGTGCAGATCCTGGAGAACAACATACATCTCCACCAATTTGAATAAAAGCTATCGTGTTGAACTTCTCCTCTGGCCTAAAAGAACTGATTTTTCTCGACAAAGAGTCTGGGCTTGCCTTTGAAAACATAACTATTGTAAAGCCTGATTTCTGACAAGAATCAAAAGCAAACAGCAAGAGGTCAATTTATTTCCAAAACTTCTATAGGGTTCACGAATTCAATACAATAAGGATACAATCAGGAGGGGAAAAGGGTCTTTTTACCAAAGGTTCGACTTCAATTATCCCCCCAGAAAAACAGGGAGGAAAATGGCAAAAAGATAATGTGCCAGCCTGCCGTCAAATCATCAGTTTCCTGAAAGGCGCAATAGAGGTCCACATTTGTTTTTAAATTAAAATTCTAATTTTAATCAAGAATGAAACAGTAAACCCTACTTCAACCAATTGCAAAACATAATGTGTGATATGAAACAAAAGCTTGAACCATAATTTGCAAACCCTAATTTCTGGTAAAAAAGAAACCGCAAACCGTAGTAGTGGAACTGAGATCCCTAAATTGTGATAGAAACGAAACTGCGTGACCAAAGTTCTAATAAATGAAAGAAATGCTATCCCTAAAAAGTTCTAATATACGCAAACCCTAACTTCTAATAACAAAGAACTTGCAAGCCCTAGTATTGGAATTGTGATCCCTAATTGTGGTAGAAACGAAATTGCATGCCCTGATTTCCAATAAATGCAAACCCTAACAAACGAATTATAAACCCCTAGTAATTGCATCGTAATTCCTAAATTCCAATTAAAAAAATAAATTGCAAACATTAATTTCTGATAATTGCAGGCCCTAATTTCTGAAAAGAACGAAAGTGAAACCCTAACTAAGAACAAGATTGCCTACCTCATCAGTCTTCGACATGAAACCCTAATTGAGAACGAAATCGCTCACCTCATCTCAAGAGAACTTCCTGCGAGCGGGTGGGGTATTTAGGAGGACATTTGGGCGGTGGAATGAAAATTAGGGCAAAATTACGACTTATTTAACGCGGATTATTCGTATTATTCCGTCGTATTTGACGCAGATAGCCAAGTAATAAAATTTGATATACGTGTCGAAATCTTGGTTTTTATTTTTCTAGATGATGACTTTGAATCTTTGATATCATCTTCAATGTTTTTATACAATGAAAATAACTAGATTACTATCTTTTATCTTTTATACTAATATGCGCTCTGTGCGAAGCATGACCTTCTCCTTTTTTTATTACTACAGTAATTCCGTTTTTTAATTGTTACAGTGTTTTTCGAATGCTACAACAATATTTTTTAATGCTGCGGTGGTATTTTTAAAAATGCTACAGTGTCTCACCTATGTTACAGTAATATATTTTAAACTACCGAACTTTTTTTTGATAACGCTGAAAATAATTATTGTAGCGTTTACTGTAGCATGAATAGCGATTCTTGGGTCCTCCCACTATTATAGAGGAATAGATTATGATACATTATTATTGGGATTCTCCGATTTTAGTCTCTTAAATGTTTAATATTTTGAAATCAATCCCTCAAATCATTGAAATTGTCATTCTCCAATTCTTATAGGTCATCTCAAATTTAGTTCCACAATTAACTCAAATTGTCAGTAGTTCCCCCCACTTCTTGTGAGCTGTTTCAAATCAATCCATCCGATCAGGTAGCAAGATTTAGAATTGAGGGAGCTGCTAGAATTTTCAATGGCTTGACTCTTGAGGGACTACACTATCAGATATTAAACCTTTGAGAGCGTAATAGAAAAATAACCTTTTTTTTAATGCAAAATCCATAATTGTTAGTTTGTAAAATTTACAGTTTGCACCAGTTACCGTAAAATCGACAGCCAAAAAATTCACGCTCTTCAGTTTCCTAGGGTGAAAGTGAATCAATCAAATCGATAACTTAATGTCAAGTAGTACCAGTCCTCTGTTGCCGCCGCCACCGCCAAACGCGATGATGGGTTAGTTGCTCCGCCGAGTGACGTTCGTCACCGGCAACGCGAAGAAGCTCGAAGAAGTTCGGCCGATCCTAGGCAACTCAATCCCCTTCATATCCCTCAAACTCGACCATAAAGCTCTCACCTTTATCTGTACTTTTTGCCATAATCAACCCACATAGATCAATTGAAAAATTGCATACTTGGCTTGGGGTTGTGCTTGCAACTGCTCTCCTCCTTTTTTTTCTCTCGTTGTAACCGCAGGAGAAGTGGGAGAAATTATGGTTGTATTTGTAGGCTAGGGTTAGGGGAGGGGGTTGGTGGTGGGGTGCGAGAGAGAGAGAGAGAGAGGGGTGCGGGATCGGTGGAGGTTGGGCTTAGGCGAGGGCGTCGACGGAGTCGGCAGCGGCCAAGAGGGGGAGAGAGGTTGTATTTTTTTTTCCGAAGCCTTTTCTGAAGAAATATTGAGAGAGGAAGAGAGAGAATCGTGGGATTTTCAAAAAAGTGTACAGTTAAAACAAAGAAGCAGTGATTTTGAAGGAGAACATGGCTTACATGTGAAACGTTGGTTATACATTTTACTGTTCATTTTATCTTTATTGTTGTTCTCCTTTAGTAATAAAGAAGTAGATATAAAACATAACCAGCTAGTTACTAATTTTGTACTAAAACCATAAGTATTAAGCTCGCGCTCAGATTATTTTGATTTCTTTAGCTTATATATGATCGTCTATACATCCTTTGAATACGTTAAGAACCCTAGTATAATAAGAGATGTGAATGATTATAGTTCTTTGTAAACCATAATTTATAGACCATCTATTAACTACTATATTAAATGCGCATGAAGAAATAGACGATGAATACTTCTATTGCTATGTTATGAGAAAAAGAAAATGAATATTTTTTAATCAATTAAAGGAAAAGTTTGAGGGGTAGGTTTCTTCTCAAATAAGTTAAATTGTTTAAGTTTGAAATTCAAAGTTAGATAATTTTACCATCGATCTCTCCTTTACAAATCTAATTAAAATTTTGGGATTTTTAAAAATTAAAAATCCACCGGAATTCAAATGTCCCAAAACTTCAATCAATGCTCATAACACGTCCCACGCCCACGCGCCTGTTGGCACTACACAAGCCTTGAAACCCACTTAGTGGAGCTCATTATTTGGCTTGGTCCACTATAAAAAATTGCTAGCATTTGTTGTAACATAATTCTAAGAGCTTACATTTTAACCGCTAAGTGCCTCTACTAGGGGTGCTAAACTGTATCCGTATCTGAGAAAATATCTGTAACTGTATCCGTTAGGATACGAATATGGTTACTCAAATCTATAACTGATAGAATATGGTTACAGATATAGTTTTGTAGTAAAATATTTGTCTCCGTATCCGTATCCGAAAAATCTGAAATATCCGAATACATATTCGTCATACTCTTACGGATAGTTTCGATTCTTAGATTATGGATTTGTGATTAATTTTGATGATCAATATGTCTAATCTTAACTTTTCAATTATAATGGACATATTAATAAACTCTTTTGTATCACATGAACTATGTTTTTCTCAATACTATCTAGCTTTCTCATATCTGTTTTGTATCTGCATGCATACCCGCTTATATATCCGCATGTATATCCGTAACCGTATTCGATTTTAGTGGATATGGTTATAAATTTTTCTTACCTAGATATATTCGTATCCGAGATGGGTAAGCGGATATGGATATGATAAGCATCATATCTGAGCTGTATCCGGACCGAATGCACCCCTAGCCTCTACTATAACCCGACACGAGATAATTATTGGGTCTGTCATTACCTAACGTTGGAACGAGTCAAAGTTTGAGTAGTTATTAATAATGTTTTGAAATATTAGGCATGGTGTTTGTTATTGTAGCAACTATCATGAGGCTACTTGTAAAACTTTTAAAGTGGTTGTTTGTATAATTTTTAAAGGGATATTCCTTTTTTTTAACATTCAAGGGGCTGGTTCTAAATTTTTCAGGAGCTTGCTTGTATAACTTCAAGGGAGATATTTATAATTTTTAAACTTTCTAGAGGATTATTCATTTTTTTTTGTTTTCTATGGTTCTAGTCATTGTTTTAATTTATGTGGAGTTTAAAGGGACGATTTAGAATTTTAAGAATTTTATGGTGCAATTTGTAATTCTTATATTTCTTAGGGGTTTATTTATAATTTTTTAATCGTAAGGGTTGCTTTCAACTTTTATGAAGCTAGTTGTAAAGCTACTTGTAAAAATTTTAAGCTAATATTTGTAATTTCTTAAAGTTCAAGGTGCTGGCTGTAAATTCTCAAGGGTTTGTTTATAACATTTTCAGGTGGAATTTGAAATTTTTAACTTTTCATAGGACTTTTGTAATTTTCTAATTTTATAGTGATTGTTTGTTATTTATGAATTTTAAAAGAGGCTGCTTATAATTTTCTGAACTTTATGTTACTATTTGTAATTTTTAGATTTTTGTCAAGAGTTTATTTATAATGTTTGGATTTAAAGAGTTATCTTCAAATTTGTGATTTTTACGAGGCTATTTGAATTTTTAGGTTCATCATGAGGTTGTTCCTAATTTTTGGATTTTCGAGGGTGGTTTATAATTTTGAATTTTTATGAGGTTGTTTGCATTTTTTAGATTTTGTAGGGGATAGTTGATAATTTTCTAATTTTGAAAAACACTTTTACAGGAAGTAGGGCTTCTAATTAATAGAAATTTCAAATTATGGATGGTTTTCATTTAATGGAAATTTACAATCATTTAAAGGTGGGTTTTTTATTATTAGAATTTTCTAATTATAGATTGTTTTAATTTGATTAGGATTCGTAGGTGAAGATATGATCATGTTTTTTAACCTAGTTTGTCAATTTATTTATAAAGAAGGAATATGATTATGAGTTTTTTTTTTTAATTATAGATAGTTATACTTTGATTAGGATTACCAAATATTTGATTATTAAAATTCTCTAATTATGAATAGTATTAACTCTAACTATGAATAATATTAATTTGATGACAATTTTTACTAGGTGAATATAAAATTAAGTGTCTGCATGTTATCTACTGATAGAATAGTGGCACACATGACAATTTAATTTTTTAACATGACGCGTGTCATTGAGATGACACATGTCAGTTTTTGTGTTTTTACGAAACCACCAATTTCTTATTATCATATTTTTATGAGTTTTAAGAATAGAATCACGGATCATCCACATCTCCTACAATGATCATGATAAACTCTTCTAACCCTAATACTTTTCTCTCTTATAGGATGTTTGTTGATATTTTAAATCACACAGTTAAAAGAGAAGGTGGATAGGGATTAGGTTGATATGAGGGCTGCTCGCTTTTCCGAATATCTAATTTAGAGTTGGGTTGTTCGTCCTTGCACGCGTAACAACTCGTAAGAGGACGGGGACTGGTTCCCCATTGTTCCTCCGACGATCAAGTCAGCTAGGTGCTTGAGTGGGAATATGAGAAAAATATAGTGGAATGGAAAAATATGCTAAGAAATTGCTTACCTTTGTATTTGGAATAGTTTTCCTTTTTATAGCCAAGCAAGAGGGGTAGTCTAGTTTTTTTGGCCGAGGCTAAGCTGACGGCTGAGTCAGCATCTACTTTACAGGTGTTGGTCGTGGATCAGCTGCGTGATGGGCGCTGTCATTTCGCTATTAATGAGATGCGATGGGCGGCGCACGAAGCCAGTGTGGTCCGATGTGTCATAAATAGTATAGGGGATGGAGAAATGATGATGCATGCTAAGCATTTAATGTAACGCTGACATGCTGTCAGCAAGGGGGGGTTCGAGATTGAAATCATCTTTTGCCTTGTAGAGAGGGGTGTCGAGAAGTAATGTCTTTCGAGTCGACCCCGCGATGTGTCGAATAACTGGTCGAGTGGGCTCGTAGCGAGTCGTCTTTGACAGAGGACCGACAAGTACCGCCCTTCGAGTCGACCTAAGGAGGTGTCAACTCGACGAGTCGGCTAAGTCGGGATCTTAGCGGTCCTGATCGTCAATTCAATTTGAGCGATGCATATAGGGCGACACATGTCCGTTGTTGGCAAAGAGTCATACTTTGACGACTGAAAACACCATAACAATGTTGATGTTAGGGATCTCTATATAAGAGACCATATCTGATATCTCCTCTTATTTAATAAGAAATTGTATTTTCAAGAAGAAAGGTGAAAGCTTATAGCTTCCTCCATTGAAGCAATCGTCCTCATCCGGCAAAATAAGAGTCTTAATAATCTTCATCGAGGTTAGTAAATCTTGTCTCTTGTTACGCTATCAATATCTCTCAGGGATTTAAGAAAAAAATTATACCTATTTTTCCTCTCTATCACAAGAGAGTGGGAGAAAATACAAAATTTTCTAATTTTGAGCTTCATCATTTTGTCGATTAGGGAATGTTTGATGTGGCTTCGACAAATGAATCTTCACATTATATTAAATAAATTGTTTGTATATTATATCAATTATTATATAATATATCATATTATTATAATATATATAATATATTATTTAATAACATTAAACATAGTTATAATTAATTAGTAATTATAATATAACATATTACATTTTAGTATAAAGTAAAATAATGTATTTTATTATAATAACATACTAAATAATATAGTAAACCAATTAGATAAATTAATTTGAACTTGAGTGATAAATAAATATTATATTTTAATAAAGTGACATATCGTCAATTATCCTATATGAATTATCAAATCAAAGTTTTAAATTATCTCATTATCCCAACCCACTTTACCCCACTCAAAATATCCCAAAGGAATAAAATAGTTCCATTAGAATAATTATCGCACTTGACCCCAATTTGTCCCAACCAATAACCCCACCTCCCCACCCCCAATAAAAAAAAATCATGACAACCGCCTTGATTGACTTAGTGGGATAATCTATCTCCAAGATTTTGTCAGATTTTTTACGCATAGTTTTAAGGTGGACCATAGCAGAGAAAATCCTAAAAATTGATTGGTGAAACGCGGGATAAATTTTTAGGGTATTAGTCAATTAGAGCTAGAACTAGATAAAAATTTACACTGTTAATAAAAAAGAATCATAATAAAATTGGAACTAGATGATGGTAAAAACTATTACGTTTTTTCTATTCCTTTATACAAAAGTGAGAGTTCTGGTTCCTCAAATTATCACATGTTTTAGCCTAAAAATTAGTTGGTCAAAATCTAGAGCTATCCTATCTTTTTTTTTTCTTTTTCCTATTTTATATATTTCATTTTTTTCTCCATTCTTTCATCCTTCAATGGTCACCACTGTCATCAGCCCACGCTATCGGATTGGATTGCCTCTCCTCTTAGTCCCTTCTTTATATGCTCTTTTTTTAATCGAATATTTTAGATCTCTATAATTAATTCAAAGTAAAAAATATGTATCCATAATTCATTAACGATTAAATGATATTAAGATACGAGGGAAACAGATTTGGGGTGTTAAAAAATGAAGGAAATAGAAAAAAAATAATTTCCTTAGACTTGTACTATTATAATAAAAAAAGTTACAATTTATTATTATAATGATCATAAATTATACATTATCTAACCAAAAGTTATACAATAGTAACTAACAATATTGTAAACAATTAGAAATCACTAATAGTAAGTTTAAAAATATATAAATAATAAATATATCATCAAAATGCATAAAGTATACACTTCTTGACTATCACAAATTATCCCACATCATTTTATCATGATATACTACATCAAAAACCGTTCCCGATTATCCCTCTAAAATATCAATTTTCAAAAAAATATCTCACTTTAAAATTTATCGCACTTCTTGTAAAAATGTTTCAATAGATTAACACCCTTACCAAGTGGCATATACCACACCAATAGGGGGGGGGTGTATCACAATAAAATTTATTTAGTTTCATCACCCTCTTATTTGCATGTGGTGTGTGCCACATGATCTTCTCCTATTGGATTGGTGCATACCACCTTGGTGCTTATTGAGCACCTAAGGATTTGTCGTAAATAAAAAATTTCTTGATAGAGAGGAGAAATTTGGGCAATGACATCTTAAGGACAAGAAGGAGAAAAGGACTTGTTTATGGGAAAAAAACCTTATAAAGTTTTTTGAGACCTATAAAATTACACATGAAATATAAAAAGGTTATCAAGGACAAATATGATACCACATATTATTCCTTAACATTACCCATTAATTTATAGGTCTTTCCTGCAACGACCATACTAAGGGGCTGTTTGGATCAGGTATTTTGAAGGGGAAAGCTGTCAATTTGTCAGTTTTTTGGTGACTTTCCCCCAAAATCGCCTTTTATAGAGACGATTTTGGGGGAAAGCTGCCAAAAAGCTGACAAATTGGCAGCTTTCCCCTCCTTTTCCCTTCAAAATACCCGATCCAAACGGGCCCTAAAACTTGCCTTAAAAGCCTGACCAATTCTCGAAGGTCTGTAGTTGAGATTGTCCCACTAGCGCAGTCAATGTAAGTATCATGATCTCAACAACTTTTATGTTTTTTATGGAATTTGCTTTTTTCTTTTTTGAGTGTACATCAATAAGTGTACAAGTTTACACTTTTTGGGGTTGTTTTGTTGGATGGAAATGTAATTGCAAGAGCAACATGATTTGTAAATACATTATTTGGTGTGCAACTTTGTAATTAAAAAATATAAATTGAATTGTATTTTGCAGAAAAGCTTCCAGCAAAAATGATACGACCTGAAAAAGCTGCAATCTTTAAAAAAATTAAAAAATAAAAATAATTACGTCTCATCAAAAAAGATATTTTTAAAACTAAACTTGCAACATTTGCTCCTGCAATTTATTTTTGCCTCAAACCAAACAACCCCTTTATCTCGTGTGAGAAAAAGCATGGTACATATTTGACACATCAGTCTTTTTTAGTTGTAGTTTATTCAATGCAAAATTTTGAAAAAAAAAATCACTTTGTTTTTAACTTAAAAAGGTTACAATATTTATCTCTACCTAAATATTTTTACCAATGGAAATTATGGTTCATACTTCTAGGAGGCATTTTTGAGAAGGCTTTAAAGTCAAAGGAGGTTTTCTGATAATCTTGAAACTTAAAGATGTATTTGGTTAGAAGTAGTTGGAACTTAATGTTATGTTACTACATTTAAATTTTAAAAGTCTTGTTTAGTTAGATATAATTGCAACAATAAATTAAGCAAACGGTTTTTCTATAGAGTGCCCATAGGCACTCTATAAGAGAGGAGAGTGATAGAGAGAAATGAATGAGGAGAGGATCCCAATGCAAATCAGTGGACCCCCTCCTCATTCATTCCTCTATATCTCTCTCCTCTCTTATAGAGTGCCCATGAGCACTCTATAGGAAACCCGTTAAGCAAAAAATAGAACATTGGAACACCAATAAAATTTAAGAGTGTTGTTGCACCATAAATTCAAAACATCATTCATATATGTTGTTCCAACTCCTAGAGAAGCTTTATAAGTTAAAAGGAGGTTTTCTGATAACCTCTAAACTTAAGGTTTTTTTTTGATATTTTGAAAGCAAGGGTAATCGTCCACACTTGGGGAGTTTTCTATAATTTAGCCTTCAGCTTCACCCTTTGAAGATTTTTTCTAAATAAACCCATTCATATTTTTTTTTTAAATCGACCCTCTTAAATTTTTTTCACAAAAATCGACAAACTTTCTCGTCACATCAGCATCGTGGCGAGAAAGTGAGTTGATTTTTTTAATCCGGTTTCTAAATAGTCGGGGTTGTCAACCCCAACTATTTAAGAGGTTGTAAAACCCTAATTATAACTCTAAACTTGAAGATTTTATGTTATAAATAGTCGAGGTTGGCAACCCCGATTATTTAGAAACCGGATTAAAAATAATAGGTCGGTTTTTGTAAAAAAAATTCAAGAGGGTCGATTAAAAAAAAATAGTAGAAAGAGTTTATTTAGAAAAATTCTTCTTCATCCTTTTCCATCACCGACCTCTCTTCCGAGCTCATTCTCCTCTCTCTCTCTCTCTCTCTCTCTCTCTTCGTCTGAAGGTGACGTAGTCCGGCGAGTAGCGAGGGATCTCTGGCTGTCGTCGACTTCTGGTAATTTTAAAAGTATTATCTCTCTAATGATGGCAGCTGTAATTAAAGAGGATAACTCGTAGAGTTATAAAGGAAACCCTAAAATCTAGCTGGTGTAGCTGACGTGGATGTGATTCGCTGGTTGTTCTATTGTTTCGGTTCTTTGTGCTACGCAAAGATCTCTTCTTGATTGTTATATGAACTTTTCAAAGATTCTATTTTTTAGAGTTATCTTTTCTAAGATTCTTGAGGTTATTATAGGAAAACTTATCATATTTTGTACGAATTGATCAGGAGAATATCATATGTGGTAGTTATAGTCTTTAATGGCGCTCTAGTTTTTTTTAACCATCATTTGTAATTCCTTTATTTTTGAAAACATGCTGTAGGTAGGCATTTGCTTCATGAAATCAACTAGTACGAATTTGTAATCCATCAAGAAGTGCTACGTTTAGATTTCACAAAGAAACTCTGATAAAGAGTTTTGTAATTTGCTCGTTAGTTCCAATAACCTGGGCTGTAATCTGCTGATGACTCCAAATTATGATGAATACGCTTGGGATAGACACAGAAAGGGGAAAGAAAGTAAGTCGATTGATGCTGATTTGTTGGGCTTTTCTGAGGGTTGTTCTGATTTATCAAATACCAGCAATGTATCTGCTGAGGCTTCACCTAAAACAAATGGTTCTGCCTATAAAAGAAGGAAGTTACATGGGAATTCTGTTGCCCTTCTGTCAGAAGAAATTACGAAAGATACAACTCCTACAGAACTAAGCTCCTGCAGTTATAAGCTGCGTTCTCGTCGCAAATGCCTCACAGAAAATAAGCATAATCTGTGTGTGGCTCCTGCCAATATAAATGGTCGTTCCATAGATCCTCTTGCTAAAGTGTGTGTTGAGGCATCTAATGGTAAGTGTTCATCATCAGAAGGCAATGTGGAATGTAGTTTATCTTCTGCAAACATAAAGAGAGAAGTGAACGATGAAGGGGATTCATCCATTACTATCAAAGAATCACTTGGGGAGTTCTCCTCTGCAAAGGACTTGTGCATATTTGTACTTAAAAGGTATGGTCTGCTGCCGGAAGGATGGAAACCAAGGGCATGGCCTTTTGAAGTTACATGCTCTGACAATGTCAGTCCTTCTCAGCCATGCAAAATATGCGGGCATTTGGAAGATCCATTGAAGATGCTTATTTGTGATGGCTGTGAAGAAGCATTTCATCTATCTTGTTGCAACCCCAAAGTAAGGGAGCTTCCGTGTGACAAATGGTATTGTCAACCTTGTTTCAGAAAGAAACCAAAGCCCTTGTTGCAAGCTTTTACGGAAATGCCATTTAATATAACGAGTGGAAAATATGGCTGTAGAGGACGACCTTACAAGGATCTGATATTGGACATGTTAAAAGACACCCACCCATATGCTACTGATGTCCGAATTGGAAGGAACTTTCAAGTCGAACTCCCAGATTGGTTGGGCACAAACTCCATGTATGTCACTTACTCCTATCTTATTGTATAATCTTTAATTTTGTTTGTAGTTAGTGTCATGCCCTGGGTCTATAACCCCATTGGCCAGATATGAGCCTTGGGGCTCACTGAGTGCAGCATGTTGTTTGGCTCAAACCATTGCAAAAAATGGTCTGCCATTTTTGCACCTAACTCCAATATATTTCTTATAAACCCATTTATACTCTGCTGAATTCCCGATGTCAGACTACTGTGGTATCATTACCACTCCTCAAACATGCAAGGTCCTTGTGTCAGCAATGCATGATAATTTTTCATTCCAGTATCACCATATCACCACTAGGCGATGTGGATTCTAAAGATGACTCCTACGAGTTTTAGAGGTGGCTCCACTGCGCTCATACGATGCATCACTTAGTATAGAATAGCACTTAGTTTCGTACTTCCTGCACTTACTAGTAGCAAACTACTTTGATACCATTTGTCGCGCTGTAGGACTGTGAACCCATCAACACAATGTAAACCCTGGAACCCATTGTGTGCAACACATTATTTGCTCAAACCAGAACAAAAAATGTCTAGTCATTGCTACACTGGACCCCGTGACCTACTTCATAAACCCATTTTCACTCATGACTTCCCCGTATGGGACTGAATTGGGTATCACCGTAAGCACTTCAGTCATTGATATTTAACTAAAGAGAGCACATACACAAGCTGTCCCTATTAGATGGAAACAGGAACGTGATTGTTATATCATAGTTCTATTTGAAACTTCATAGTTATCACTTATCATGGACATGATTATGGGTCACTAATATTTAATGATTTTTATTGTAACCGTTTGTTGTTAATATATACAGACATAATCCTAGACTTTTAGTTTCTAGATAGATCCTCAGTTCATACTTTCTAGTAGATTGTGAATTCTTACTTCCTTTCTGTATTCAATAGGTCGTAATGGAAAGAATTGTGTCTGCAGTGAATATATTTGTGATTTAAGTTGAAACACAATATCACCACCTTTTTCATTGACATTGATTTTTGTTTTTTTCCACTTCCGTGTAGTGATAATGAATACTTTGGCAAACCATCTGAAATGGATCCTACCAAATTCACTGACATGAGTGTAAGATTGAAGCCTTCAATTAACCTGCACGTCTGCTACATATCGTTTCCTTTAGCTGTATGCTTTTTAAAGGATGTTGTTTTGTGCTCTCAGGGATGGATTTGTAGAAAAGCAAAGTCTTTTGGTAATTGGATTCAGTGTAAAGAGGTCGTAGACACTGAAGAAAATGGTCGGAAGAACATTTGTGGAAAGTGGCGAAGGTAATATTCTTTTTCAAAGAATATGATTAAATCTCAAGAAAGAAGTCATTTTTAGGGTTAGTTGCAGATGCACCCCTTGTGCTATGAGGTTTGGTTACTTATCACTCCAGTTCTAATAAGATAGAACCAGAGTGATAAGTAACTAAACCCTCATAGCACAAGGGGTGCATTTGCAATTACCCTTTTTCTATGCGCAATTAGTATTATTCATTTTGTTAAAATGATAATAAAAACGAAGGTTTCTTGGTTGACCATGGTCTACATCAATCTAGAAGTAATAAATGCAGCAGTAGATGAAATTTTATTAATGGTTGCCAATGAACAGTGAAATATACTCTGGAACACGGTAACCTTTTTCGTTGTCCCCCGTATATTAAGGATTCTTATCATGAAAAAGAGTTGCATTAATTAGAACCTTTGTCTAGAAAAATGAGTTATATACTTGTAGAGACAATCCCATGTGCTAAGTATCATTTGCATTTAATTTGTATCTGGTCAGTACCTGAAATCTACAGATCTTGCATATGCATCCTATGTTCACATACTAAAATACTCAATTCTTCCGTATTGACTATTCTCCACGATTTTTGGGCATGTTAGGGTGGCGTTCATGCCTGTTTATGCAGATGACCATTATATTATCATATTTATTGCTACTGAACCACTGGAAAATCATGCAGCCACCTGAAGATTTAAAATTTTTTCATAGCAGCTTATGTGCGTGGAACCCTTTTGTTGCAAAACCTTCTGACCTATATGTTTGCTAGCCTTATCAGTGACAGTCATGATTCTTCCCATATTATGCATATCTGAAACATGTGGTGCCATGTGAGGAGTCGTTGTCTGACTAATGCCTTTAATACTCGTTTCAAGCAACTTTACTTTGATCTCCTTGGATCGAATTGTATAAAATCACATATATTAGGAACTTAATAGGCATATTTATGATTAGATTCTATAATGCATATTGTTCGCAGATATTGTATTGGGAGATGAGAGGTGATAATTTCAAAAGTAAACTGGTGGATAGAAGCTTTAGAATTTAAATAAAATATTTAATTTTCTAAAGGAGGTAGATACGCAAGAGAAGAGAAGCTCAATAAATATTAACTATAGCAAAATTTTTAAAGAACGATCCATGATTTATCATTCTATCTGATCATAGAGAAGTCAAAGTGACCATATTTACTACTAAGGGCTAATCATTGAGTTCGACTAGAAGATTAACAATGTTCATAGATTCGGATTGTTAAAATGTAGTGCTTATAAAGTACAATGTCTCTATAAAATACACATGAAGTTGTGGGACACTTATATGGCTATATAGCACCTTTGCTGTCAGTGGTGAATCTAGAATTTCTGAAAAGTGGTGTCACAAGATAATTAATGGTTAGAAAATTTTATATATGTCCGCCAACGAGTTTTCAATTGTGAGCAAAAAATCAAATCTGCAACAAGATCAAACAATCTCAATCCCAAAAAATCCCAAAAAAAACCCTCCTAAATTCAATACATAAAATAACATTGATAACTCAAAACATAAACTTGTAGCTTGAAATCCCAACATGAGACTCGAAGCCATCAGAGAGGAGGATGTTAGATGACCTCACATCTCTGTGGGTTGTACTAACCACCATGTAAGTAATCTAGTACCTCAGCTAACCATTGGCGTCTTGTATCTCTTTCCCCTACTATTTATACTCTTATCTTCTTTATGACCAGAAAATTTTACACAATTAATGACTCGTTAGGTTATTTAGTGGGGTTGGGATGTAATGCTGTAGGATAATAGGTTGTGTTGGGATGAGAATTCTTTTAATTATTAATGAGCTTGGGTGTTTAGGATCTTGGAGGGAAGTGGTGTCATGTGACACCACTTCGCTCTAAGTAGATCTGCCCTTGTTTGCTGTTATAGTCCAGGATATTAGGCAATTAAAAGATACACTTAAAGGAGGGCGATAAGAAATGAGCATATTAGTAAGTTTAAATATAGCTTCTATTGGCAAGTTGAGGGGAAATTAATTAAGGCTGTCTAGAAATTTCTAAAAAGGTAGATGAGTCCCACCAATGTTACATAATGCGTTAGACACGTGCCTAGGCATCTAGGCGAATGCCTAGGTGTCTAGGTGAATGTCTAAGTGGGCCTTGGGGAATTTCTTTTTTCGTTTAAATGTTGGAGGGGGACGTTTTATTGGAAGTTGAAGGAGGTGCCTATAGTAAGTGGAAAAGACCGAAGGTCGGAGGACTTGGAGGCAGCCGCTGGAGAAATCATGACCATAAGCGATGCCATTCGCATATGCAGCCTATGCTCCCCTAGGTGCTCCGAGGATCTAGTCGAGCAACCTAGGTACCGGTTTGGCCTAGGTGGGTGCCTAGACCGTCTTTTAAAATATTGAGTGCTATTAGCCAACAAGATCTAGGTGAATTAATGTAGTTAAAAGATATGACAATTTACTTTAAAGTGTAGCGTCCCTAAACAAATTGAATGGGAAAAGAGTTCCTATGCCAATCGCAGAGATCTAGGAGCACTGCCTTGTTGCTGTTGTTGCCATGAGGTCTAGTCGGAAGTGCAGACATCCACTGGATACATAGTGCATGATGCATTAAGGAATATTTTTTTACTAATACCTTTACTTGACATCTTACCCTTCCGGGCTTTTCTTCATCAAAGAGAATATTGAAGGGTTGTTTGAAATGAATTTTAAGATGCATGAAGTAGGGCCAATCTAACTGTTTTTTATTGTTAAATAGGCTATGTTTAAAATTTGCAAGTACGGATGTCTGTTTACAATTTCTTGGATCCATTGTAGGGCTCCTCTTTTCATAGAACAAACTGAGGACTGGGATTGTTCTTGTGCTGTTACTTGGGATCCAATACATGCTGATTGTGCTGTTCCGCAGGTAATTATTAGTTGTCATTCACTGTTTATTTCAGTATCCTTGACATATATACGTGGAGGGTTGTTAGTTTAATTGTTTTTGTTATAGTTCTTTGTAATGCATTGTGGGTGAATTGATCTCCATTTGAAAATCCAACCTGAAAGTACCCTAGGGGGTGGATAGGGTAATTGCTAATCTAATCAGATTTTGATGCCAAATTAAAAACTTACAATACAATATCCTAGCAACATGATATACAATAAGATTTGCAAGGATAAGCAAGGGACAATAGGCGATATAAACAACAAGCACAATATATAAGAGAAATAGTGCGCCAAAGAAACAATTGCAAACACACGATATGATCACGGAGTTTGGTCTAACACTCGAGCTACGTCTCCGCTACTCACCTCGAGGAAATCTCCACTATCACTCAAAAATAACTACACAATAACGATTTTCAATGATCATCGATAACTTTTACAATACACACATTGTCAATCACATAAGTCACACTCCTCTAAGTGTTGGACTACCCGTGTCACCTTCCTCAAGTATTTGGATTTACGACCCCTCCCTAGATTTTACAACCAACCCACTCCTCTTGGAATTGATCCCGGTCTCTCACCAACCACTCCTCTAAATGTTCTTGTGTATTACAACGTGTTTCAACAATAAGCGTCAATAAATGATTTGTTCTCTAAGATAAATGAGAACGAATTGTAAGCTCACCCTCAATGAAACACTCTCACAACCTAAATATACTAAATATGAAATACTTAAGCTCAAGTGAGTGTGTGTAATCAATGAGTAAAACAAAATTAAACTCAAATCAATCTAGCATAAATATATGATAAACAAAATATTAATTTGCTAGAAGAAGAGTTTAGAAAAACTTCTCTAAAACAAAGAGATATAAAGATTTGAGGATGAACGCCTCAAAATCGAAATTGAGATATTTCTCTTTGTGAAACTCTTTTCACAAAAACAAACACACTTAGATCTTTCAAAAACTTGGAAACAAACTGCCCAAAGCCTCTTCTAAAACTCTTAAAAAAAACTAAGGCTTGAGGATTATTTATAGCCTAAAAAACAAAGCTAATCAGAAAATAGTCGTTATATCAAAATAGACGTTGATCAGTCGATTGAAAATATGGTCGGTCTACTGATCGACTGTAAAACAGAAAGCTGTAAAAACTACTACTGGTAAGTCGACTGAAAAGCATAATCGGTTGACTAAAAACACTGTTCTCGGTCAAATGATTCAAGTAATCGGTCGACTGATTTTTCAGATGTTGTAAAAACTCGTTCTGGTCGGTCGATTGGATAGATTTTTCGGTCGACCAAAGACTGACATATCAGATACTTGATTTTTCTTAAAAAGTTGATTTTTTAAATTCAAATTAAAATAGCAAATCAACTCCAAGAATAATAAAACTTGGGGAAACGTTTATATATATGAAAATGAACATGTTAGAGAAGAAATTTCTAAATAGCACTTCGCATTTGTGAAAACTCGTTGTTTTGCAAAACAGTCACAAATACGAGTTTGTTAAATACTTGATTTTGATAAAATTTCTTCAAACGAGTTTTCAAATGGATTCATAGACTTTTGAAAAGATGTAAAACAATATCATTAAGTCTATAATCCGAAATACTTTATTTTTCCAAGAAGACAGATAAATAAGAAACTAGTGTGTATGTATATAAATATATCTATTAGTTTCATATTTATATGGCTAAACTTGAAAGCGATAAAACGAACATGTATGTGTGTGGTTTGAGCTTTAAGTATAAACACAAAGTAAAAGATCTAAACTAGAAACAATATACTCAAGCTAAAAGTCTTCATTTGAGCTCGTTGTTGGATGATCCTGAGCTTGATAGTAAGGATGAAGCACGATCTCGTATTTGACTTGAATTGCGATGACTTCATTCCAATTTCCGCCAACCTCTATGAATATCATCGTTAGCGCTTAATTTCAACCAACTTTCGACCTGGATGCATGTTGGAAGAAAACACAAATACTAGAAAACAAGATTAGGAATTGTTTGTAATCATCAATTAGACAATAGGCTCATAAACATGAGACTTAACACAACCCAATGAACCTTTTCAGTTTAAAAACTAGGTGCTTCCAATTGGATTTAAAGTTATTTTGCACCAACACGCGCTGGAAATCCCTGTCTCCATATCTAATGTGTGTTTTACTTCGTGGATTTGTCCTTTTCAGTTTTTAGTTGCACATAATTTTAGATTACTTGACTATTTGGTTGAGAATTTTATGGGGATAGATTATATTCTACTGTAGAATTTGTGACGTGAAGGTCGAATATTAACCAATGTGAATAATACAGTTATTTTGTTATGTTTATGTTCTTCGATTTATCTTTAATGGTTTTATTGGATCAATTGAAATGATGTTTATCATTATTGTCTCTGTTTGTGAAGCCGATTTAAAGACCAAGTGACATGAAATGAGTAGTCAATGCCAGTCAGCTGAATTATTGATAAGGTTGTTGCCATATAATTTTTTTTGTATATCTACTATTTAAGTTCCCTTTCTCTTCCATATATCCTATGCATCGACTGCATGCTCGGCTGAACTGGTGATGAGACAGGTGGACCATGGTGCATCTGGGACATATATTGTAGTCGTCGTTTTCATACTGAATTGGCTGCTTGTTTCGATCCAATAATATGCTTTGGCTCATATTACGAGGAAGAAGGATCTCCCTCCAAAAGTAGGCATATAGGAAGTCGGGGCAGACAATCTCTTTTTCAACTCCAAAGCTAAATAGTCTTTTTAACACTTTTAGAATATATGCAAGAAAAATACACTTTTATTATAAATTGTGCTTTTTTTAATATCTTTTCAAAGTACCATAAAGTTTGTAAGTGAAATTATAACTGATGGTCCAAACAAGGCCTT